TAACCTCCCGTAACTTTCCCGGCCACCTCTTGCTCAAACCCTACCTCAGCACACACAACCTATGCTCTGGCAGCAGCCGTGATGCTACACCTCAATCCCCTCTTCTGCTTTCAGCTTCAGCAAAGATCACTGAAAGCTCTGGGCCGGCTCATGGCGGTTCTGCTTGAGACAGAGCCCACGCGTGGCTTCTTCCAAAATATAGTCCATGTGAGTATGTGTGGGGCAAGGGAGTAAGCATGGTGCCTGTCAATAGTGGGGGCAGAGATCTGGGGACTGAGAGGACAATCAGAGGGGGAGAAATCTCCTGCTGACATGCCAGCTCACTGCGAGCTCAGAAATGGGCAGAGAAATGGGCCCCTCGCAGGCCACAGCCAAGGAAAAGCTCTTGGGTTAGGAGTCAGGAGTGTCTGCAGAGAGCGGGGGCAGCAGTGCCAGTGCTCAGTGAGGCGGGAGGCCTTGAGGGAAAGTTCTGGGAAAGGAGGAACAGGGAGAGGGGTGGCAGGAAGGGAAAGAAAAGACATCCTCAGTGAGACAGATGCTCTACCCCAGGTCCTGCAGAGATCTATGATATCGAAGAACGTGTGGGAGCGCAAGAGGGCCCTGCAGACCTGCTCCCAGCTGCTGGCTGTTTGTGAAGAGCTTCAAGTAAGTAAAGAGCCCCATTTCATGCCCCCTGCTCCCTCCCCAGTGCCCCTGAGCTGGAAGATGAGCTCCACCAAGCTGTGCATGCTGTGTCATGGAATGGGGAAGGCACAGGTGGGAGATGCTAGAGAGACCTGGGGGTCTACAGCTTTCTTCCTGCCTCTCACCCCTGCAGAGAGGAGATGCCTGCGAGCACTTTGGCTCCTTGGTGGGATTGCTGGCGCCTCTGACTTGTGACCCCATGCCCGCATCCCGCCAGCTGGCCGTCACCTGTCTAAGCGCCCTTCTCCGAATCCAAGGTGAGTAGAGCAGGCGTGTGCCAGCCCTCTGCTCTCCTCCGCAGTACTACCAGAGCCCCACAGGCTGGGCCCTGTTTACAGGAGGGAGAGGCACCATGCGCAGCTCTCTTCTTGTCCCCACCCTGTCCTCTGTCTCTCCCCCGTAGAAAGCAGTTCCATTTCCAGAAGCATGACTTCCCTT